ATTATATAATATATATATAATATATATATTATATAATATATAATGTTTATTTCTTATTCCTTTTTAAGTCTTCATCTGCTAATTTTATTATCTGTCATTTCTGGGTTTGTTTCTATTGACTGATTTTTCTCCTGATTACATTTCCCTACCCTTTTGCATATTTGGTCATTCTTGACATTCTGAATCTTATGTTGCTGAATGTCTGTATTTTGTCATTGTCCTTTAAACAAATCATGAAATTTGTTTTGGCTGGCAGTCTTGGTCATCACGGATGAACTTATTTTTTATGAGACTTGCTTATAAATTTTGTTGAGGGGACATCTAGAGGTACTTTTACTCTGGGGCTAATTTAGCCCTTCTACTAATGTATAACTTTCCTGGAGTTTCTACTGAATTTTCTGGACATTCAACAAGGTCTCTTCACTTTGGCTGGTTGAAAGTCAAACATGTCCCAGCCTCGTGTGAGTCCTGGAAAGCAGCCCATGCTCCCTGGCAGTTTAGCTCACACTGAGGAGTTTCACTGTATGTACATGCAACTTAGTGTTAGCAACTTTCATGAAGATAGTGCTGGAGTCCTTGTTATAGTCTTTCCTCTCCGATCCTCTGCCTTGAAAAGTCTTCTCGGCTAACTCCTCAACTCAGCAAGACCGCTATGGTCTGCTTAGGTTCCCCCTCCCTGTGCTGCAATTCAGAAAGTACTTCCAGCAAAAAATTTAAGGTGACAACAGAGCTTGCCTCGTTTCTTTTTCTTTCTTTCTTTCTTCCTTTCTTTTCTTTCTTCCTTCCTTTCTTTCTGGAATCACAGTCCTGTGGTAGGTGCTGTCCGATATCTGAAACCGTGATTTCATATATTTTGTGCAATTTTCGAGTAGCTTGCATTAGGAATGTATCACAGGCCAAATGTGTCCCCCTCACCTCTAATGCCTAATGTGATGGTATTAATAGGTGGAGACTTTAGGAAGCCATTATTCATGAGGGCAGAGCCCTGATGAGTGGGATTCGTGCTCTTATGAAAGAGGCCCAACAGAGCTCCTTTGCTCCTTCCTCCATGTGGGGGTACAACAAGAAGTCTGCAACCCAGAAGAGGGCCCTCACCTAACCATGCTCGTGTCCTGATCCCAGATTCCCAGTGCCTAGAACCATGAGAAATAAGTTTCTGCTGTTTATAATGTACCCAGGCTGTGGTATTTTGGTATAGCAGCCTGAATAGACTAAGACAAAAAAGTAGTCTTGGAGAAGTTACTTGGGTATGGCAGAAGTGGGAATCTCTACTTCCTCCGTGGAAGCACATTCAATATAGTGATGTGCTCTTCCAGCCCCTTCTCAAGAGGCTAGGTTCTCAAGAAACAGAAGCTGTCTGTGGCTGACTAAACAGACAAGGAAGCTCAAAGGATCATGGTAGCTCACAGGATTGCGGAAGGGCCAGAGAAGCTGTTTAATACTGTCTTTTTTTTTTTTTTTTTTTTTTTTTTTTTTTTGAGACAGAGAAAGAGCGTGAGCAGGGAGACAGGCAGAGAGGGAGAGAGAATCTTAAGAAGGCTCCATGCTCAGCACAGAGCCCAACACAGGGCTCAATTCCACAACCCAGAGATGACGACCTGAGCTGAAATCAAGAGTTGAACGCTCAACCAACGAAGCCACCCAGCCACCCCTCAAGATTGTCTTTATAGGAACTATGCCCAACACGTGCCTCAGACACTGTTCTGATGAGAAAACCACTTCTGGTGCCATTGCTGCCACCAAATTCTAGACAATCAGTGTGTACAACTGTCACTTCTGCACCAGGAATTCAATTATACCACAACCACCACCGCTACTGCCTACCCGGAGGTGCCACTTCCTGTGTCAGGAACTAAATTGTGTCCCCACCGCTAAAGCTGCAACCTCCACACAGAGTGTGCCCTGTGTTTAACTCTAGTTGCACTCGCTCTTGAGTCTGGCGAGGAAAGCAAGAGTCTGTGATTTTCAGCTTCTATAAGGAATGAGCTTTTCTTCCCACCAAGACTCATGAAGTGTATGATTCCCCCAATTCAAAATGTGGTTGCGATGCTCAGCCAAAACATCCACCATGGAGGAACTATTAGCGAATCTTGGATGGCTTTCTGGCACTCAGTACTGGAGCATGGAATAAAATCACTCATTTTGTTTCTGGAAAAGGGATCCGCGATCCTGTCTCTTTTGGAGCTTATGAGAGGGGGCCACTGCCAGATCATATGCGTATTCCATACAAGCAACCTCTAGAGAAGTGGCCTTTTGTACAGTTCAGCAACTGGTAGTAACACTATCAGTTCTAATGACCGGTCTCCTGACCTCAGGTTGCAGAAGAAGACAGGAATGAAGATGGCAAAATATTATTAATGGTTCTTGAGCCAAAATTCTCGGAGGGTGGGGCATACTTCTGAGTTTCTGGTATGTAATGAACTGGGAAAAAAAAGGATCTAGATACATTCTAGAACCATAACAAGAAGTGAGCCAATCCTATTGGATTTATTTATTGTTCTGATCATTAAGAACCATTGACCAAATGGCACAATGTTTAAGCCATTACTAACACCTTAGCTCAAAACAAAAACAAAAACAAAAAACAAAAAATGAAAAAACTGTGCAGGGTACATTATATCTGAGCCCTAAGAAAAAAGGGTGCTGACAGGAGGTTTTAGCGATGGTAAGGAAAAGAGGATTGGGTATGGCAGATGGGATGGTGATATAAAGTGGGCCACATGGAGTCTGGGAAGCAGGGGAGCCCTGGGGAGATGAGAGGCTGCAATCTGAAGATACTGGGCATCAACGGAGGAAAGAACAACAGAAGATAAGAGTGGCCTGGGTAAAAGGAAGATAACCATTCTACCTCCTTGCCAATAATTCTAAGAAAGAGGTTCAGAGGGTGGAGAAGAGTACCTACTATAAGCCAAGAATTAGGGATTCAGAGTGAGCATATAGATTCATGCATTGACAAACCAACTGACTGAAATTTGGAAGAAATCACAGATCTGACTTGGACCTTCTCGCTTCCCTCTTATCTTGAATTGTGCTTTTCCTAAAGTTCTTTATGTCTAGCGTAGCTTGGAGAGACCGAGGAACTTTGTTGTGCAATAATCCTTTTTTTTTTTTAACGTTTATTTATTTTTGAGACAGAGAGAGACAGAGCATGAACGGGGGAGGGTCAGAGAGAGGGAGACACAGAATCTGAAACAGGCTCCAGGCTCTGAGCTGTCAGCACAGAGCCCAACGCAGGGCTCAAACTCACGGACCGTGAAATCATGACCTGAGCCGAAGTCGGCCGCTTAACCGACTGAGCCACCCAGGCGCCCCAGGTGGGCAATAATCCTGATGGAATGGAATTGCTGGTTGCCTCCCCAGTGCACACTCCCTCCATGGGCTTCGGGTGGGGACTGATAGGCCAGATCAGGGTAGTCCCAACCCTTTGTCACAGCAATGGTTTCAGGGATGGGCAGTAGCCCAGGTGTAAGGTAACAACCATCTGATATCCTGCTGGCCACCGTGCTGTCAGGGATGAACTAAGCTGATCTGCTCAGAGGAAATCCAAGAGTCATTTGTGTGATGAGTGAGTCAAGAGAAGCTCTCTCTCCTGGGCAGTGTGGTGTAATGCCTGGACGGTACAGCCACTTATCCTTCAGGAAGGAAGCCAACCTACGTAGGAAATTGACCCAAAGAGAAGAGAAAACCTGAGAGCAGTGTAGAAAAAAATAGAGCCAGAGTTGTGATCAAGCCATGCCTGAAGCTCAAGCAACTTCTGAATGTTTTGACTAAGGAAGCCCATATACTTCCTTTGCTAGTGAAGCCAATTGGGTTGACTTTTCTATTTCTTGCAACCAAAAGCATCCTAGCCGTGATACCAAATGATCTATTGGAATCCCTTTTTCCATTTCTTGGGTAGATGTGAAGGGACACAAACAAAATGACCAAAAAAATGAATATATTTTAAAGCCTTACTGTCCTTCTGGGGTTCTACTCTCAGCTTGGTTTAGGCAGGTGGTCACATTGTTAGGAAGAGGAGATGGGAAAGGTTTGAAAAGTGAGCAAGAAGCCCAAAGAAAGGGTAGAGAAAAGTAAAAACAGGAGATTATAAAGTAAAAGAGAGGCAGAACGTCAATGGAAACAACACAGAAGCCTCAGAATTATCCTATTCTTCTGGATGCTGTGTTAACCAAGCCCAGTGGATTCTGTCATCTACATATCCCCAGTCCCCACGGCCTCCTCTTTCTTTTCACAGTGATGCTTGGTTCAGACCTTCATGATCTCTCTCCTTCTCATGGTCTCTGCCTTTGCTCTCATCCCCTCCAAATTTATTTTCTACACCACCGCCAGAGTGATCTTCTCAAAGGAGAGCTCTAAACATTTTCCTACTGAAAAATTTTTGATGCCTCCCTCATGTGGAACATGGGAAAGAGCTGAGCTTTGAAGACAGATCATTTTGAAATCCATCTCTGCCACTTACCAGCTGTGTGACTTTGGGCAAATTTCTTCATTTCTCTACACATCACCTACTTCAACAACAGGCAGGATTCCTTTGATTACCAGTGACAGAAAATGACCCCATACTCATTAGATAAAAGGGGAGGAGGAACACATTAACTCAAGTGACCAACTGAAGAAAAATAGTACAACAGGGTCTCAGGGATAACGAGAAGCAGAATTCACAAATAGCCTGTACTGTCTCTGCCTTTCTGGGGAGGGGATGGTGGTAAGGGAGGGTTTATATTTCCATTTTTGTTTCTCTCTGCATTTTAGCTTTATTTTCTTGGATTGGATATTTTGTGAATGGCTGGAATGTGAAACATGAATGGCCAACAGCTTCCAGGCTCACATCTTCTAGTTTAGTTCATAGAACAAGGGAGACTCCTATTTTGAATCCCAAATTCAAGCTTTTCAGGAATGGCTCTGACTGTCCTATGTTGGATCAGGCACCCACCCAGGGCTAATCAACCAGGGGCAGGGGCAGGCGCAGGGGTAGGATGTGTAAGAAGATGGCAGCTTCTATTTAAACCACATGATCACAGAGAATAAATCAGAAAGAACATTTAGCAGAAGCAAATGGTGCTGTTCTGGAAAGACAACCCAGTAGATACTCTTTACAAATTTTATCTCATGTGCTCATATAAATGAGTACCAAGTACCCGGATAGCACCTGAGCACAATACACAGCTCTGCAAATTCTCAATTAAGTTCCCAATTTAATACAAACCAGTTCCCCTGCACCACTAATCCTGTACCCTGTTCACCCTAGATGGCTCACCAATCCCAAAAAGTTGTGTACTGTTTCCTCCTATCCTGGTGCAGGGCTGTATTTCCCAGCCTTTCTCAACTTACTCCTATTAGCCCCTTAAACCCAAGCCAGTGATACCCTTCTTCGAATCCTTCCTCAGCACACCCAGACCCAACAGCCTTCTCTGCACTTCAAGAAGCCTCTTCTTAGCCTCCAGCACAGCACTGACCACATCATACGGTAATTACCTGTTTGCTCATCTGTTTGTTTTCCTCCTCTCTCTCCAGAGATTGTGGCTTTCCAGCTCTTCGTCCCGCATCCAGGAATAAAGCCTGGCATCTAGTAGACCTCAGTAAATGCTTGTTAAATGAAATACAGGATGAATCAATGCAGAGGAGGAAGTAGAGGGAAACGAGGAGAAGGCTAAGTAGAGATTTCACTGTTCACACACAGACCTGTGTGTTTCGACATTAGCAGTTTCAAAGGGAGAATAGCCAGCAGAGTCTGCGGATGCTTAGAAACAAAGTTGCTTCCTGTCCCTGCAATCCCTGAAATGTGAAAGCTGGCTTTTGTTGTTGTTGTTGTTGTTGTTGTTGTTGTTGTTGTTTTTACCACTGTATTATCTTCTTTGCTTGTTGGAAAGTAAGCTTTCTGTTGACATCTATTTGGTCCTGCTGGCTAACCCATCAGTTCATCCACATGCTGACCTGGGGATCCAGGATAATGCCCCCACCCGTCCACATACGCACTGGTGGAATCAGACCAGAACTCTAAGTATTCCTGGCAGTCAGTCTGGGTTCTTCTATGGGCCAAAGGGATGAGGTCACCATTGCCAATGAAGTCACCACTGCATGATTCATCCAACATCAGCTCCCTACTTGGGGTGCTCTGACATTCCCAGAGCTTCTCCCAGAGCATCCAGAACCTGGGTTCCCGCTATCCTTCAAGGTTCCGGAGCTGATCCTCCAGTTTCTTGGATCCTTAGTGAATATCTGCCCCCTCTGAGAAGTATTATAAGAACCGAGAGGCTGGAGTCCTGAATGGGGGAAGCCTCAGGGAAGCCTTTATCCTCCAGTCCCAGGACAGACCTTGTCATCCCTCATAAAGGCCTTCCTGTTGTCTCCAGCAACTGCTTCTCTCCTTGTCCCAAACTTTTTACCAGGATCTCTCCAGACACATTCTGAAAGCCTCCAGAGTTCTCAAGGGTGAGACCTGATTCCACAGATGAGTTCACATTTATAGATGAGAAAGCTGAGGCTGGGAGAAGAGAAGTCACATGTTCATGGTAACACCACTAACAAGTATCAGAGCTGCGACCAAATGCACTCTCCCTGCTGGAGGTACTCTGGTAGCTTCTTAACCTCTTCTGATAGACCTTCCTTTTAGAACATTAGTTTCTACAAATGCTGCCTGAAGAAATGGTCCTGTAGGCAAAGGGGGCAAATCCTCCTTTCTTCCCCTCTCACAGGAAGTGGCAGACACTGGCCTTGAACCAAGACCCGATTTCAAGGCCCTGTCCTGCCTTCCTTAACCTGTCATTCAGAATACAAAAACTATCTTCCAGATTCACTGCATAATCTAAAGTAGTGGGGCAATGCCAACACCCACACTTAGACCCAAATGTGGAGGGGTCTGGTGAGATGTTCAGTGTGACTCCACAAAGACCTTCCAATAATCCAGGAAGTCTTTCTGGGACAGTGGAAATCAGATTTGGGGTTTGAGAGTTGAGTCCTGGGAAGTGAGGCATGGGGACATTCTCCAAAGTACGCTCCAGGTCTTTGAATGCTGGAATTAGCTGGAAGACTTTGGGATAACCACTTTGCCTCTCTAGGTCTGTTTGCTCATCTACAACCTCAAGAGAGCTAAGGGAGATGGTCCAGTTGACCTCTGCACAGCTTTTCAACATAGCATTTTCCAATCTTGTGAATCAATGAAAGAAAGCCATTTCTCACATTCAGCAGGGGATGGGAGGTTGTGGTTCCCTGGCACTCTCCCCTGCCCTCTCCTCCAGTGCCTAATGGTCAAAGCAGCACTGTAGGTCAGTGAACAGGACCCGGACAGACAATATTTCCAAGCTCTGCCCAGGCAGGGGTCAGAGGTTGCCCCCTGGATCACAGGCCAAGTCTTAGAGCAAGGGTATCCTCAGGGATCACAATCCACCACTTCGAAGGACACTCCGGACTGCAAGGCGACCTCAGAGAATGCTGCCTCCAGAGGACACAGGGGTACATTTGCATCCAGACCCCACAGGGTCTCCTTTTTCTGGCTGTTGAAGGGTTGCTTCAGAGGTTCAAGATGGTGTGACTCCTTTAGGCACCAGTTTCAAAGTAAATGATTCAAGTTCGTGCTGTGAACAGCCTGCGTTGTTACTGGGGCGGGGGGGGG